AACAGAGACACTGATGTTGTTCAGCTTCAAGGTCACATATTTGATGTTGGAGGATTTATTTTTCAATGTGGTGCAGACTGTTGTCACTTTAAATATACAGCTTTTACCAGACTGTTATCTTTTCATATCTCTCAAACAATGTATGTCCAAAATGAGGCACGGGGGGCAAACTGTGCCACTGTACTGATTTTATATGGTCTGTCCACTATTCTTGCATCTTTTTATTTTAACATAACACATTTTTTGCCTCACTAGCCTTTAGCTATTTTTGAATACATCTCTGGACCAATCTTAAGCCAGTTTCTAGTTTGTTTTTTTTCACTATTTGTTAAATAAAGTGCTAGCTACTACAAGTGTATTGGCTTTTTAGAATGAATGTTGTTATGTTATATCTACTTGGTAGCTATTATGAAACTCTTTCTTTCTTTCTTTCTTTCCCCACTGTCTTTTTTCTTTGCAAACCTTTAGTATTTTATACTACTTTTTGACTAACAAGTTTCATTTTAGTTATCTTGGTAAGATAATTTGAGATATGATTGTAGTGATAATATCTACAATTTGCTTATTTCAGTATTCCTGTAGAACTGATACCATTTAAGAAACTAATTCCATTTCCAGAAAACTCCAGTAAGAACAACGCTGCCGAAGAGACAAACACCCTGCTGATTTAATTAGCAAGCAGAATGCAAACTCACAAGCCCGGCCGCCGGGGCCCAAAAGAGCTGGCAAAAGGCTTTGCACCAACTTTTGCAGAGAGGAAGTGACACTTTGAATACTGATGAGTCAGTCAATCTAACCAGGGGAACAGGAGCCATTGATCAAGAGCAATTCTTATCAGTGGCTGAAATAACACCTCAGGTATTGCTTGCAAAAGAAGCCCAAGAAGTGACTGTTGTGGGTTGTGAAATGTATTGATCACTTGACCTCCACCTTCTTTTTTTTCCCCTCCTCCTCATCATCACCATCATTATAATTACAGCCAATTGGCCATTGTCTGGACAAAGACAAGACACAGGAAGGAGGCCTGGAGAAGAATGTACTATCAGATAGCTAGTAACACACACACACACATACACATAGACAGTGCAGGTTTGGGTGTAAGTGTGGGGTGTGAAGTTTTACACTCCAGTTCCTGTTGGCGGCTGGGTGTGTGTACCCAGGAGCAAATGCTTAAGAGGCTCAGGCTCCAATGAAACACCTCGATCCTGAATGGCCCTCAACACCTGATAAAACAGTAGGTCATTCCTGCAGGCTCTTTACAGCACCCCGAGCAGGAAGAAGGCCCTGAAACGACTGTCTGTCACTGACACTCAGCTTGTTTATCAAACAGGGAGACCATAAAACCTTCTGAATGTGGTCTTAAACCACAAATATCTGGTACCTGGTAAAATGGTACCAAAAACATAGATTATTTAGAGTCTACAAAGAGGCAGGTATTTGTAGAGTCAAATGTTTACCATGCCCTGGTGATGCACATCATCATGTAAAGATGTCAGAAAAATGCATTATCTTTCTTTTGTTCTATACACAAAAATGGCCTCAGATTCTGGCATTCTCTTGCTGATTGAGGATGAACCAGGATGTGGTGTGTGAGTTAAGGCAAGAGACACCAACATGTTTCACCAGGGAAAATGCTATATCAAAGTGTGATGTATTTCGGTCCAATCATAAAAACAGAGTTCAGATATGACTAATTATAGATGTAGTATGAAATCATCGGCATAGAGAATGAGATGAAAGAGGAAAGATCTGAAGAACAAGTCTGGGAAGAGGGGAGTAGAAACTTGGTTCAATATACTGGAGAAAATTTAAAGGCATGTTTGATGTTGATTTCTGCATGTAGAAAACATGTTTAAGACACATTTTCTGTTCTTTGACTGCGTTTTAATGAGGATAAACGAGAAATTTAATATTCTGGACCAGGAATTTCAGGGGTCATTATGAAAATATATATTCATAATATTATGAGGTTGAATAAAGAAGAACTAATAAATATATATATCTGTTTTGCCATTTATATTATGCAAGCCTTTACAGACAAGAGACATCACAAGTTAGAAATTAAAAGCTAACATATTTTCCTAAACTTTCAAATTTAGATTTAATTATTGCATTCTAAATCAGTTTAAAAAAATCTCTTGTTTGAAAGTCAAAATGTCTTTAAATGTCATATGTGAAAATATCACCTGTTGGAGGTGAGGTCATTTTCATTTTGTGTGAAGTTGAAGGATTACATGTTCCTCTGTGGCTGGAGAAAATTCTCCTAACCAAATCCTTTCACGACCTGCTGTATAAACTCTGTAACGCACGGCACACGGTTTCTTTGCCTATTCAGCCACATGTTTAGATCCAGGATATACAAGGTTTTTAGCAGACAACAACAATGTGCCAGAGTTTTCTGATATTATAGTCATTTGCCTTGTGTGAGCTGTGACTTCACCAGGACTTGCAATGAAATGTTTTACGACTTGTCTGGTGTTTTTAAAGACATCATGTTTTAATCCTGCTGTGCCCAAAATGTAGATGTTGGACTGCTGAAAACTCCTGGGCTCTCACATGTTGCTCCAGCATAGAAACATCATCCAAGGACTGACTATCTGGAGAGATAACGCCCATAAACCTTGGTCATCAGAGAGGAGTCCAAAAAAACGCCACTTTCCTGTCCAAGATCCACCACCCCCACATTTCCACTGATTGCTAATTTCTATTTATATGCCATGAGGGGAAATAATGAAAACCAGATGAGGAGGAAAGCTGAAGCAGGCATTATGGTGATGGAGGCTGTGGAGGAGGATGACTGTTTATAGAGTATCTTGCTGCACCGCCGCTGACGTCCCAGCAGCAGTGCCCTGGCTAAGAAAAGGACTGCCCCGGTAGGATGTGTGGGATGGAGGTTCCATCATGACTCACTTGGTAGTCATGCCTGTTTGCACTTGTATGGTCCCGAAAACCCAAAGCTGCAGCGAAAAAGACCTGCCGCCAAGGCTGACAACTCCAAACAGCATTACGTGGGCGTGTGGAGCAGCTAAATTTACCCTGAAACAAGTGCAAAGAGGAAGAGGAAGGAGGGAGGGGAAGGTCATGACCATTATACCACTGAATTACTTAATAACTGACTCAGATTTCACTTTTTCTGCACACTGGAGTGGTGGTAATCCCATGATGAGTAAGACGTGACGCAGTAGCAGAGCCGTTTCACGTGGCAGGGTGAGTGAAAAGTGAAAGAAAACTACTCAACAGGCCTTTAAACATGTCATTTTAAACACCTCTGCTGATTAGATCAGCAATTTTAGAGGCGAGTTAAGGACTTTGCAGGACCCAGTTCTGGAAATGGTGGGAGTAAGATCTGTTTCCTTATTTGGCTTAGGCTGGAAAATATCAAGTAAACACTGTCTTCCTGTTCACCGCCTCCTGAATACAGTTCCTCTCCACCTCCCCTACTGCTTTCCATACAGGGGAACTAAAGTGAAACCTGAAAAAAGAGGCCTCCTATTGTTTGCTATCATCCAGGAGCCAGGAGCAAACAGGGCTCAAATTGCAGCTCTGAAAGGTAACAGGAAATTGACAAATCGCTAATCCAGTCTTTTACTATTCAGGGTAAAGAAAAGGTACATTCCACTAAAAAAGAGAGAGACACGCACATTAAGTACAGACGCATGGTGAATGGAGTGGAATAAATAAGACTGCGTGCAGGCTATGCCCAGTTTTACTGAAAGCCCGATTTGCTAAATGACTACAAGATGGTTCCTCTCAGAGCTCATGTTTACCATTAGCTCCTTATCTGAGATGCATTTGAAGCAGCTCCCAAACAGGGCTGCAGCTTCCACTGTGGGCCTGCAAACATGTGTTACAACAAAGGAGGCTCATATTCCTGTTTAGCAAAACTAGGAATCTGAAGATCCCAGGCCTGTTGTTGCGAACGGAACCTGAGGGCAGCACCGTCACATGTGACCGATTATACACACTCACACACTCTATCACTCTCACACACACACATACACATACTGTATGGTTATGTTGCTTTCTTGTCAGTCCTGCAACATTTCCAAACCTTACCCACCACATTATAAACGTTTCTTCGCCTTCTCCTTTCATTGGTCCCAAATATGTATATATTTTTATTTCAGTTTTTATTTTGTGCATGTTTTCCCCTGTTTCCCACTGTTTCTGACTGACCAACCAGCTTTCACAATGATGATCTCATACCATGTTGCAGGACCCCGGAGGCGGCGGGGTGCGACGGGTTGAAGGGCAAGAGAGGGGGTCAGCGGACTTCCCAAGTGATAAATTTGGGAACAAAAAGAGGCGGCTGAAAGTCAGGACAGACCGTGGGGTCACTGGGTCTGGCGGTGATGCTGGAGGGAGCATGGAGGGTTGGGGGGGGTGCAACATCTTCCAGCCCTGTCACTTTTAGTGCAGGAACCACCATGTCATAAAAGCCCAGCATTGATAGCCCCCCATTTATTATCTTTGAACAGGTGGTCCTCGCTCATTTCTCTCTCACACACACACACACCAACAGAATTAAGGGGACTATTTGGGAACATCCTGATCGAGCTGTGGTAAAGCCCAGGGAATAAACTAGGGTGCATAGTTTTGTGATGACTTGTTGGCTGCTGAGTGTTGTATGCGGCTGAGGGGGCATTAGGGAGGGGGGCCTGGGAGCCACTTCCTGTGAGAATATCTCACGCAGCATCTGTTGTTACTGAATGAGGTTGGGGGGTTAATCATGTCAGTGACCCAAATTGTTTAGCATTCAAGGTTACCAGGGAAGAACTGTGGTCAGGAAGCAACCTAAAAATAAAAACACTGACATTCTGTGAAGATGTTTCTGCTTAGGCACTAAATACACACACAAACACATATACACACAAACACAACTCTTTTGTGTCTTTTCTGTTCGGCAACTGACCTCAAACACCAATCAGAACAAAAATACCGTTAAAAAAAAAATCACTCATCACTGTTCAACAGATCAATCAAGACACCAGACAGTGCTGTTTTTTCATTAATTAATATATTTTCTGCATTAAAGTTAACATAGTTTTTTTCTTTTGTGCCACCCTTTAATTTTTCAGTAAGTATTTGATATTTCTTGTTATATTCAGACATGAGTAAATTTAAGACTGTCTCTTGCAATAAATATCATAAAATAATAGAGCTTCACATAATAAATATTTTTTACAACAAAAAATGTTTTAACAGACATTTTTTTCTTTTCTTAAAAAATAGCCAGGATTCCTCTTACGGATTTTTGAGCATACATTTTACACAGAAACAAAAGAAGACAAAATGGGAAACTGGGAAAATGCCACAGAATGTGTATGTTCTGTACGTAGATTTCCGAGTTCCGATGGGTGGAAGTAGAGAAACATATCCAAGTGGGAGGAAATACTATGAGATGGATGTGCTTTTGTTAATGCAACACAAGCATAGGAACCACGGTTTGTGTGTGGTAGCAACCAATAATTCAAACATACCTGTTTGCTATGAATACCAGGTAACAGCTACATAATTGCCCTATAGCAGATCGTCCTTCACAGATTTGGTGAGAGGCGGTTTCACACCTGGCGCACAGAGCCCAGAGGAACCCGCCTACCTAAAACGGAAGATAAACTTTCTCATTTTCATATATATATATAAAAAAATAGTGTTAATGAGGAGCTGAGGATAGACATAGAAACAGTTAAGGCAAACACTGGTCTGTAAAAACATGGTCCTGATCCAGAGAAAATAAATCGAGTGGTTTTCGTTACTCCTTTGCTTAGCTCTGTAGGGTTTTGCAGTGAGGAGGAGGAAGGGGAGGCGGCTGGGAGGTGCTAAGAATGTTCTGATAACATTAATTTGTGACTATTTTCATCATTATCAATGTCAGCATTAAAATCCACATCAAAAGTCTCCCTTGCACACACAATCACAAACACACAGGGGGTTCGATCAGGAAGGTTTTTCCTGGTTCTGTCGGTCCCAGCTCTCCAGTTTGCAATAGACAGTGTTGGAGTTCTTGCAGCGACAGCCAGGTCTGTTTACCCGGTCGTAGCAGCCCTGGCATGCCTTCAAACACCCTTTGACGGGCAGGTAGCATAGGAGACAGGGGAAGAGTACCGACATTAATCCCATGCACAGGAAACGAGAGCAGCAGTGGGAGCGTGACACCGAGCAGGGGTGGTCAGCGCATGAGTCCCCCTCATCGTCATTGGAGCAGTGGTAGAAGATGCCCTTAACTAGGCACATGCACGTGCCGTGTTCCAGTGCGCTCTCTGCTGAGCACAGGCACTGACCGTTGCATGCCAGACATGAGGGCAGGCTCCTGGGAGCCGTGCACTCACTGCACTTGCACTTCCCACAGCACTCACAGATGAACTGGTGTCCGTCAGTGGCCACGACTCCATTTCCACTGACAGAAAAGTCTGATTTCCCTTTGCCCTGGGGTTTAAGCGGAGCCTCCGGCGGAGGCTGGTGAAAGTGAGGTCCCTGCTGGGGCTGTAAAAGGGCCTTGGGCTTGGGCTGAGTCCTGACAGGCCGCTCTGCACGACGGTGTTGCTGTAAGCTCATGCTGGGCCTGGTGGGGGGCGAGCGTGCCAAAAGTCCCTGCTCGGAGGAGGCACTGCTGTTGCTCCCTGAACTGGCTGCACTTCCTGTGCTAGTGGAGCGGCTGAGGCCCGGTGCTCTGGACCCTCCATACTGCTGTCCCACAACCACCATACCACCTCCAACATGATGGTGGTGGTGGTGACCTGACGGTCGGTGCTCGTAATTGTTGTTCACATTGACGAGGATGACCTCGTGAGTTCTCTCCTGCTTGTCCTGAGGCCTGGGGACAATACGGGGCGCTGGGGGCCTCCGTACCACTGAGGGCCCCTCGGTGTACTCGTTGTTGGAGCGGATGGCCTTGATTTGGTCCAGGGAGAGTATGGCGGCATGCTGGAGCTCCCGCTCGTAATCCGACCTTTGCCGGCTCTCTAGGGAAGGCTGCTGGATCACCACTAATGAACCACCGGGGCCATGTTGACTTTGGAGCTCCATCTGGGGGGATCACCACTTCCGACATTCACCGTAGACTTGGCATGCATCGGAAAACCTGAGGGTGGAAGGGAAAACGGAGACAAAGAAGAAGAGGACACGGTCAATACAGAGGCTCAACATGAGAGTGTATGAAAAAAACAAACAGATTAAGTGTCAGAGATAAACAAACTCCCTTCAACTACAATCATAAATCGCGTGTTTTCTTAGTACTTATTTCTTTGAATATTAGGAAAAACTAATAATAAATTAATAACTGGGATGTCCCGTTAACCTGTCACTTCTGATCCCCTAAAGCGCAGCAACTCGGGAGGCGGAAAGAAAAGTTGACAATTAACAAGAGTTTTTGTACGTTCCTCTTCCAATACGCACACATCTAAACTTCAGCGGGCCCTGCAAACACTTCCCCTCCTCATTTACATTTGTATGACTAGTTAACATTTAAATGCACCGCGGCGACGAAATGAGGACACGATCCAAGGAAACTAAATGAGCTACCTCACTTAGTATTCTATTACTACACCGAAAAGGGGTTTCAGGGAAATCGGGACAAGAGTGGGGCAGGAAGAAAGACCGAAAGAAGAAAAAAACCTGAGGTCAGATCAAGTTCCGACAAAATACAGATGAAAGTTAAAAAAGTTTACCACTAAAACATCACTACACGCAAAAACTAGTTATGCAATTACTACTAGATAATAACCTACCTGGGCGCTGATTTGGTGCGGCAAATACTAACTAGTATTATGTTTTAGCTTACAGAAGTGACGAAACTTTAAAAAATCCTATCCCGTTTCAGCCATAATCACTGAGAAAACAACTCAAGGGTCCACATAGAATCTGTGCGTTTTTAACGCGACACACTGAAACAAACAACAAACTCTTTATAATTTTCCAGAATCCGTGCGTAAAATGGCGCATCATAAATAAGGTTGTGCGCTTTTAAGAATGAAAAGAGGACGCGCTGCGCACTGGTAGAAATAAAGCGTGAAATAAAATCCACGGAGCCGAAGATCTTCAGATCAGAAGACGTATTAAAATAGACGAGAAAAAAAAAAACTTATGAATGAAAACAACCGCCATGGGGGAGGGGTGTTTGTTCCAGCAGAGGAGCCACAGAAGGACACGGGCCATGGAGATCTATCAACTCACATCAGCTCATCAAACTACTTTAACTTTCCCACTTTATTTTCCACTGTGCCAATGCACCGCGGTCAGTGTTGGGAACCTATATGTAGTTAGCGCAACAAAACAGTGCTGTTTCTCGTGCGCAAAACCCCGTCTCGCCGCACTTTTGCGAATGTACACAGTTAAAAACAAGTAAAATAGATGGAAGGAAGTTTCCTTACCTATATGCAAGCATCCATAACGTTGAATCCATCAACGAAGATAGCAAAACTCCATCCAATCCGAGAGGAAAAGACCAGGGGGAAGGAAAGTGGGGCAATGTCCACACGCGTAAACGGCTGGCTTTAAAGCATAATATTCGCAGTTCTAGTATTCCAAGTGCGACCTGTATCCACTTGATTGCGTTATTCCCCTCTTGCTTGACAAGGAAAATTGATGGAAACGAATAAGTTCAGCGCGGGTTCTGTGACGCGTGTATCGGCTCCTGGACCTGAAAAAGTAAATCCACCGTGGAGGCTCCGGAATTGAGGGACGAACTGCTGCACGTCTGCGCAACTTGCGGGGAGGCCGATCGTTTTACACACAAGTCCCGTGTGTGGATAGTTGTGGTAAACAACAGTAAACTTGGGGAAATAAAGTAGAGTATTCGTCTGTGTTTAGTATCCAAGCGTTCCTCCTGCAGAGCTGTGCGTCAGTTCTGACTCCTGCGGTGGAACCAGGAGATCTTGCGCAAAAAAAATAGCCTCGTCGGGTCACAGACCGTGGTGCGCTCTCTCTCTCTCTTTCTCTCTCTCTCTCTCTCTCTCCCTCTCTCACTGTTCAGCACTGAATGAATGGGAACTCAGGACTCAGTGTTTGCTCGACAAGCCAACTCCCATTGGCCATTCACTCCACTGAAAAAGGATACATCGCATCCGCTCCTGATTCATTGGGCAGATGTAGAAGGCAGGCCGATAGAAATGTGTGCACCATTTAAGGTGGAACGGCAGTGTGCACGGGTGGAGGCGGTGGAGGAGGGGTGTGCTCCACGAAAACAGAGGGGGAGACAGAGAGAGGGGAAAAAACACACACTCACCACCAGTTTCCGTTCTTGTGGGTTATGAATAATGGCGTGAATAATGTTCGATAAGTGCAGTAACACACCAGTCATTTGTTTGCATTCTCACCGGCACGTAACGTTCAGGGGCCACACAGGTGGAAACTATAAGACAGGACTATAATTCGAAACAAATCACTGTCTGAGTTCAAATGAAACCTAGTTTCTGTGATTGACATATACCTTCCATTTACTTTATATGCGTTTTTAGGTGCAAACATGTATGAGGGGCCGCATGGAATCTTTTATTCAATTATCATTTTTAACTTTAAAACAAGGTTAAATGTTAAGTATTTTAAAACAGGTAGAGAGTATCCAACAATAATGTGTGAAATGGTAATAAACACAAATGTACAAGGCTATAATAAAAAGAAGGCTTTTTAGAAAAATATTAACTTTCGCATTGAATGTTTTAACGATCTTATTTATGGAGGTTTTAATATAGAAGTGATGTGAAAACCAATGTTAGGTATATGATTGTAGAATCAATATGAAAGGTTAAAAACGTTTGTTGAAGAGGCATTTAATGAGCTTTTTTCTAATGTGGGAAGTAGGATAGAGACACAGAATGAGTAATGAAGGACTTTTAAATATAAATATATTAAATATATGTGTTTGAAGAGACATTTCAGGATTGTGGCAGACAAGTGACAGATAATGAACAATAATAGATTAAAAATGTGGATTAAGGTGGGATTTGGGTAACATATAATAGAAGGGATTAAATAGACTGTTTTGAAATCTGAAATTTAAAGGTATATAAAGAGAATGTTTCGATATTTTTAAAATAAGGTTGAATGTTATCAATTTGTATTGGTAATTAAAATGACAGTGGGTTAAAATGTCGTTTACAGTGATGGAATCATTATATAGAGAGTACATGAGGCACAGAAATACTTTTCGTGTTTCAGAAATGGCTTAAACAAAGACATTCTGAGACCTTCCTTCCCCACAGGCTGTTAATAAAGTCCGAAGCCTTTGACATTGTGTTACAGTCCTGTGCATTGACACAGTGCTGGAACACATTGTAGTAAGACTCCATAAAAAGAGCAGCATATGCGTGATTTCAGGGAGGAAACGTCAACAGGATGTCTTTCCCTCCTCTGTGGAATGTTCCCATTACGCATGAACGCATGTCAGTGTGAGGAAACAAACAGCCAGTTGGATGGAGCTGCATGGTGAACAGTGGTGGAGGAGAAGATGATGATGAGTCTGCAGCTCTCGTATCACCACACTTATTCCTACACTCATCATTTCACTGCTGGAAATGTGTTGTCGGTTGGTGGGAGGTGGATGTGGTTAAAGTTTTTTTTTCTTCAGTTTTTGGCGAGCCCGCTTCAGACCACCTTAAGAAATACTGCAGCCAGGGGGGAAAGACTCCCCCCACGTCCTCCCTCCCTCTCCACCCCCCTCTCTCACTCCTCCTGTTACCCCTCTCACCCCTAACTCCCCCTCCTCCTCCCCTCTGTTCCTGACTGTCTGGTTTGATTGGTGTGGCGGATGCGCTACATCCGGATCCATGAGAAAAGGAAGTTCAATACAAAGTCAATTTATCCCATTCAAATGGAAAAATCAATACACGAATGAGCCTGAGTGCCATCGTTCAGGGTCCGGGAAAGGGGGTTTGGACCGAAAGAAAGTGGCAGAAAAAGTTCTTCCCTAAAGAAACTAATGATCATTTATTTAGAGCTGGTCGGGGTTAAACCGTGCAGCTCCTCGGTGACACCAAGCCACTCCTGCTTATTGGTTATAGACCGACAGATGGCCGCCTGGATCCCTGCTCTTTAGTGGTCGGAAGTCTCACGATTACAGCAATTAGCTGATTTTCCATGCATGCTTGTGATGAATATACCAGCCCGGCTGCTGGGTTTTCTCCTGCCCTGAACTGCTGCTGCAGCAAAGACATGCAAACAGTGGTTTGGTGATCATCAGAGGTCCTTAAAGGAGTCTACTCCTACTCCGTTTGGCATGCAAAATGTGTTGATTTTTTACTACATTTAGATTTAGTGTATAAACTGTTTGTGCATGTATGCACTGTTTTTAAAATCATAAGACAAAGTGATGCAACACCAACATTTGGAGAACTACAGGTAAAATTAAATAAAATATCTGATGCCAAATATTACAAAACAGAATTAGATAAATTACATAACATAACAAAACAGTTGCTTTATAGCATAAAATATAAGTAAATGTTACCTGGAAAATTTGTATATCTAACCTAATAAATCTAAGTAAATTATTGAAAAATAGAACTTATAGACATGACTAAATTATATAATATATAATACATATTTAAACAAGCAAAAAAAAACTAAAAAAGCAAAACGTCTATATCAAACTTAAATTTAAATGTAAATAAAATAGAAATAGCCAAGAGTAGCCAAAGAAAGCTTACAGTTAAACAAATGGCAGAAACCAATAACTGTTATGTTATGCTAAAACATAACGCAAAGGCTAAGCCAAGAAGAAGATTACAAGTAAGTTAACTAACATCAAGCTTAGGATAAAAAGTAAAAGTTTGACAAAGAATAGGGAACATTAATTAAAGAGTGGCTAAAAGCTAGCTAAACATAACTTAACCTTAATAAGACTGACGTATGATTTAAACTACTCACGAGTGTATATCTAATAACTGTAATATTACAGATTTTTTTATTTAGAGGTTTGAAAATAAAAACACTCAAATGAATTCATTCACATTTTTAGCACTCAATCATGGATCAAAATACACCAACATTGTTTTTATGAGGGTTTTGTGTCCGAAAAATATCAAATTTGAACATACCTGTTTGGAAAAATTACTTTTTCTGAGTTCAAAATCAAAACCACTGAGCGCATTTTTTTCCAGCAGCTGTAAAAAAAAGAAAGAAAGAAAACTCAAACAATAGTTGGCTCATGTATAACTACAAAAAGAAGAAAACCCTTCGTCGGCCAAAACAAGCATCTAGCAGAACACAGCTGGATAATGTGTCAGTTTATTATAGTGTTTGTGTTCTTTTTAGCAGTTTGAAGCGCTCGAAATGTAATACTGTTTTAAAATAATAATTACCAAAATAGTTTCCTAATGTTTTTCATGTGTCCCCAGCCAAGAAGGGTCAGAAGAAGCACAGGCCACTGTGCTGCTGCTGATAGCTGATATACGACTGGATGAGAGAGTCGGGGATCCTGGGCTTCACAGTGTTCAGGGCACTTTCAAAGTGTCTGGACTGGATGTGCTCAGCTTTGATGTCCTCTTGTAGGGCCAGAAGGGCAGCCTCTCTGCATACTGCTGTTATCTGGGACAGGAAACAGAGACAGATATTCCACTGTCAGGCAGAGAGCACTACGTCCACAGAGTCACATGAGCGGAGGCTGATTGACCTCAGGGGCCGTGGAGGGTTAACTGTAGGGCTGTACGCTGCAGTATTATCTGCATCAAAGAAATATTTTCACTGTATTATGATCTTATGAAGCCCCGCAGAGAGACAAGGCTAACTGTATATACACTAATTTGTCCTAATGAGACCAACAAGGGAAAAAAAACCCTACGATGACATCCTGCCAACGTTTCATTACAGATGAAACAACTTGTCAAGAAAGAAAGAACATTTAAAGGGAATAGACGCTGGTGTTCCTTACTACATTATATTATTTAGAACAATATACATGTTTTATCATAATAAATTAACTCTTATGTCTCCCTTGTTATATTATAATATAGTTCTAACAGATTATATGGATAATTTTCTAAGTAAGTAATTGCTATTTATTTTTACTTGCAGGTGTTGGAACGGGTGAGCAGTCCATCCTCCGGTGCAGGCACAGAGGCATTAGTGGTGTAAGTCATTTGGCACAAAATTATGGGTCTGTTTCTGACATTTATTAAACCTACTATGGTGAATCAGGTAGACAGAGCTTGGTTTAATCTTTAAGTGTCTAATTAAATAGTAAAGTGCTGAGACAGAGCAGCAACCTCAGGCAAGGCACTCAAAAGTTAAAGCAGGATTATGGTGCAAAAAAGGCAATCTTTGGTTTCTGTAGACCTTCGGACACTAGGTCTGGTGGTTTGGTGAATCCTGTAGTATCTACGTCGAGAGTTTGAAGTTTACGGTGGTGGGTTTCAAATACTTTAATTTACAGTTCAAAACTGGCTGCAACAAAAGCTATGGTTTTCCAAACGTCAGTTGAGGAATCACATATTTTTTTGTTTTGTTTTGTTGGACTGATCTGCACATTACAACATGATTCACTATGAAGTCTTTAAGTTTTGAAGTACCTATGAATATTCTGCCTTCAGAAAAACTCGTTTGTCCAACATTTCTGATCTGCCGTGACTAGTGTGTAAGCGCAATAGTCATCTTGCAGCCTCTTCACCGCAGTACTGATAGAATTATGCAACGGCTGACATGGCAGAGCGCTGCAAGTGACCTTTGAGAGACATTCTGCACACGCCAGAGCAGTGAGTCACTTCCGAATTGGTGTCGATGGCTGACAGAGACCAGGCACCATTCACAGTGGTGCCACCTCCTCCTTATTTTTAAAGCTAGAAGCACAGCTTTGTTCAGAGCCAGGGCACCTCACATACACACACATATACACACACACACACCTTCCCCTAACAAGAGCCTCACAGGAAATTATTAGCCTGTACAACCACTGATAACGTCTGGTGGGAGGTTAGTGGGACGTGCAGTCATGTAATGCAGCAGAGCAGTGGAATATTGAACGGTGAAAGTGTGCATGCACAGCAATGTGGGTCCAAGGAAATTGTTCAGTGGCCCAAAGCGCCCTTCCCTCTGCAGCTGCACCGTGTGGCACGCTGACACGCAAGCTGATACTAGATACTCACATGCTCTGTGTGCACTTCACAGCCACCAGGCACAGACAGAAGACAAGTTTATGGAAACTAGACCAAAGGGTGTTAGTAGTAGTCGTCCAGCACATGCCTGCAGAACATAATCAGTGCCCCTTGTCATAAATTAGTGAAGTGTGTTGGAAGGATGAATGTTTTCTTTCATGGAGCGTCCGCGCAAGTTATTTTACAGATGTAAAGGAGTAAAACTATCACTGAATAACTAAAAATTAATTACTTTAATGTCAAAAATGTCCCGGAAAATACTGTAACCTCAAGAAAAATTAATGGAGTGAGATTAGATGGTAGCGCATCAGGCAGAAAGACAATGGTGAGATTATAACCATCATGAATTCTGAAATGGAATCAGACGAGCCAGTGCTGTGTGGCCGATCTCTGACCCGAAAATGTGGCCGAGTCTGGTTGTCTTTATCGACTATAACTGAAACAATGAAAGGTTGTCGCCTTTGTTTACAACATCTGCAACTCTCTCTTATCTATTTCAGGAATTTCATCTGTGTCCGTTTAAGTCGCCTTGAAATATTCCACTTGCTGTTTCGTTTTGAAAGAGAGACAGAAGTAAAATATACAGAACAGTATCCAGTGCAACAGTGTCACTGAGCTCTGCATTGTTCTACTCATGAGATCACAAAGTAAGCAGGACAACATAGGGGGAGAATACGCCGAGGTTGGGGTTACTTCAATAAATCCCCAACATACTCACTACTTTCAATGTGTCAATAGTGAAGCGAAGGTGGATCACCTGGGTTGTCACACTTGATGACAAACAGATCCAGGACCAGAGGAATTAGAATACAACCTGCTCGACTTCATCTGTCCAAGGCACTTAATTTTCTTTGACCTTAGCCAGAGCCAGGGCCTGTGTACTGTGTACTCATGAACACTGTCAGTTTAATAAAAAATATCAACAACGTGACATCATCTAAATGGATGAAACACGTAGACTCAGTGGAGACAGGGAAAAAGGCCCAGCAGAGGTTGATAGTCATGGTGTTTTTCAAGGCTGGAGAGTAAAATGGGGGGAGATAAGTGTTTGAATGTGCTCTGGCCCTGCGAGCATGCACAGCTCGGGACAGGTGCTCTGCAGATGTCAGGATGTGAGGCCCTGCTTCCCCCCCTTCTTCTTCTTCTGTTTCAAGCCAGTGAGCAACATGATTTGGGCAGGGTAAACACACAGGGCCGGGTTAATTTTGTATGAGGGTTTCCCATCATTCAAGTAATTTGGGCCTGTCAGTAATAATGATGGAAAACAATGAAGCCATGTATCCCCCTGGTTCCCTGTTTACGCATGGACCATGGGCGAGCGAGCAGGGACAAGAGTGGGTGAGAGAGGCTGAGCGAGAGAGGGATGCCACATGTTGAACAATGTGATTTAGTGTTGTTTCTAAGCAACATCCACAAACAGGAATAGACAAACACTGCAGCGTAATCAAACTGTAATTTTTTATTTACTTTGAATCTTGACTTTAGAGGACACATTCACTCCTCGTGCCGTAATCTCATGATTCAACGGTTAATAATTATTTAGTTGTTTACTTCCACATCACCCCTCGGGTTTATTAAAACCGAGGGGGGTGGGGGGGTGGAGGGTGGGGGCATGTGTCCGGATCTGCTCTGAAGTACACAAACAAAGTGCGTACACACACAGGCCTCCGCATTCATGCTAGCTGGGTTTATGAGTGGGTCTGTAAAAGCCATCAACAAGCCAGTGTTTCCCGCCGTGTGTTTGCCTGCGCCGGCTGAGAAAAAAACTGAAAGCCACAAAGGCAAACAGGGCGAGCAAAAGAGCAAGTTTGTTTGTAAACGTGAAAGCATTCCTGAACCAGAAGCCAAGAGTCCACCTTGATAACTCCTCAAACTCCAACAGAATGCAACCTACAACCCTCCTCAAGAAGGCCCCATGTGCTTCTGGGAAGAAGAAACTAGAGGATGGGAAAACTGCAGCGGTACAGATATTAAATTGTTCACAATTAAACTTGAGAAATGAACATAGAACACACAAAGGAAAAAAAAAACACTGCTGTTCTAGATAAAGTAATTAGAATTACCCTGTCCAAGTTGATTTAAATAGTTACAATGACTGAAACAACATAGTGAGCCATAGTTTTGTCTCATTGTGAACCAGTTTATGTTGCATGGCATTGGGAAATATATTTTGAGCATCTATATGCCATTTTAACTACAGAGCTAACAGCTCCACAGTCTTGTGGTGCCAAGGACAAGATCATAAGATCTCAATTCCTTAACCTCAGATGAAAACCAGCTCCTTAAAAATGTACTTCTGGTTGAGAGAAGAGAGTAGAAAACTGCAAATGTACAGTAACTGAATTATGGTTGAAGTAGCTCAGTTGCAAAGACTGCTGAATTGCAACAGGCCAAATAAATTATAGATTTCTGTCTTCTTTAATTCTATTGCAATGCAGACCTTATTTTTCATCTGGGCCCATAAACTATGTCAGCAAACACTTAAATATATGGAAGAGGGGAGTGGGCGAATTATGCTGGTGCATTGCAGTGGCTGGGCTCTGGCGATGCAGAATAACTCAAAGATCCTGGAGGTGGCATGGAGCCAGGGAAAGGCAAAGCAGATGAAAAAAAAAAGCTGCAATCATCAAGAGGCTCTCAGTTTAGAGACGAGAGAAAAGTTGCTGACTCAAAGTTGGCCTGATTCTCGGTCAAAAAGAGAGCATTTTGATGACGAGGCAAAGTTGCACACTAAGTTCTTCCATAGCAGCTGGTTCCGGTTAAACACTAACACAAGTGACAAACATTAATAATCATAAATAATCACAAAAGAGCAAACAAGACAGCACTTCTCAAAAATGTATTCCTTATCAATAGAGTAACAGCTCGCTTTCAGACCGAGTTTATCGGCCATGACGACTCGTCTGCGATAGGCAGACACTGCACATTACGGTCTTGGTGTCTGTGATATCACAAACAAATGTTTTAATGACATAGGGTCAACAAACCGTGGGCCAAATCCAGCCCATTGAACCTTTTAATTCAGCCCACGATTGGATTCCAAAATAAGCATTGAATAATATTAGATAAAAATTGGATTTTTATTCAATTTTATTTGAGGCTCCAAAGGGGTCTGTCCCAAAAAATTCTGTCCCTCTGACAAATATAGTTGGTGACACCTGCTCTGGCTTCTCAGTTTAACTGATGTTTAAGTGCACTTCAGCTTTTTTAATTAATTCCAGGTCTTCTTTAATATTTCAATTATTGGCTTGGATATTTGAGCCTTTTTCACTATTATCTAAGCTTTCGCTGCTCAAAGTACAAGTCATGTGTTATGCTTTAATGTTGACTGACGTTGGCAGTGAATGGTGAGTGAAGCCAGTTTAATGCTGTTTTGACATGAGGACGGGCACGTGCACGGCTCGGTGGCTGCGGGCCCTCGTTCGCCTTCTGGGCTTC